CACCGGAGTGAAGCGGGTCATTCCATTGATAGCAAACTTAAGAGGGGAGTACAAGCTGATGACTGCCGATAGCACAGCATTCACCACTCCGGTGCCAATGTAAATCTGGGCCTCATAATCTTTCCCCATTTCACTAGCTGGCAGGGTAACGTAGCGGAACTTATCCTGGCACACTGGAAAGGTTATCATCCATTAAGAGAGCTCCTGGGGCGCGGGAGAGGTGGACCTTTCTGCTACATTATTTAATGCAGGAAGGGACGCGGGACTGGAGTAAAAGTGTCAACAAAACAATCATTACAATTCTCTCTAAGTGCACATGAGTTATTGCGTGTCAGATTTAAAAAGCTTCATAAAGTTTTCTCATTTTGTAGTGTTTTACAACAACACTAACTTCTCCGTCTTCAATCGATGGTGGATTCTTATTAAAGTCTTTGTACCCTGACCACATCACTGCTCTTGTTTTAATAATGAGGATGGTGAAGATTTCCTTGATTGGGTATGTGGAAACTTTTCCCTCTTTCTGCCTACACAGGGAGATCAAAGGTCACACAGGCAACGTCTTCCTACATATTCTGTCAGCACTCGGCTACATTAGTCCAAATAAGCACAGCATATTTTTAATCACCACACGGGTAAAATCACAGAGCTGCGAAGGTGAATCATTGTTTTTGCTAGACTACTATATAAATCTGTCAGTGATGGAGTGTGAGATAAGAGCAGAACTTCCCTTAAAAGGAGAAAGTGAATTTCAGCCTCATGTTGTGCTGATTCTTGTATCAAAAGGAATGTTTTCACAGAGCTATCTTGTTGCACATGTTGCTCTATAGTGTAAAATTAACAGCAATGACAGACAGCAGCAGGAGCAACTGTGATCTGCATACAAACGGTGAGACATAAACGCATCAGTCACTGACATAATGCTTGCTTTCACATCGTCATACTTATCCAACGACAGCTTCGTCCAAGTTGATCCCAAATGCAGATTAATCTGTGACTGTTCTTCAGACGTGGTTAAACTAATCCAGGCTATCACAGTTATCAGGCTATAATTATATTAATCCTTATCCAGCTAACTGTGGTGTTTCATTTAAAGGACTGATGGGTTAATCTTAAGTAGAACAGTACACGCTTATTTTGAAATAAAGAGAACATGAGTGAGTTGGAGCACCAATAAGCACTCATTTGATTGACTCAGTCCTTAACTTAGATAAGATTAGTGTGCCGGGTAGCCTCCCAGCATGCACTGGGGCAACAGATTCACAGATGTAAGTGTCACTTTGTGAGTGTTTTTGCATTGTTATTGGTATCATCTTTATTTTATGATTAGTTACAAGCAAATGCAGGTGCAAACCTGTTCTGCAGACAAATTTAAATTCACCTTTAGTGTATAAACTTGTTCCAATTTAAAATAAATGGTTTATTTTCACTTAAATCCACTCTGCTCTTATAATCCAAGTTCAGTTCAGAAATTAAGGTGTTCAAATGTTAAATTTATCATAGTTAAAGGGCATGTTTGTGGTTGTATTAGCAGGGTGTCTACACGTGTCAGACTCTTAAATTAAATGCTTTTTAAGACATTTTCAAGAGTTTTTAACCAAATTTAAGACAGATTTTTGGACAAATTGTTTTCATATTCAAACATTGTAGGTAAGACGTATACATGTACAGTACAGGCCAAAAGTTTGGACACACCTTCTCATTCAATGCGTTTTCTTTATTTTCATGACTATTTACATTGTAGATTCTCACTGAAGGCATCAAAACTATGAATGAACACATGTGGAGTTATGTACTTAACAAAAAAAGGTGAAATAACTGAAAACATGTTTTATATTCTAGTTTCTTCAAAATAGCCACCCTTTGCTCTGATTACTGCTTTGCACACTCTTGGCATTCTCTCCATGAGCTTCAAGAGGTAGTCACCTGAAATGGTTTTCCAACAGTCTTGAAGGAGTTCCCAGAGGTGTTTAGCACTTGTTGGCCCCTTTGCCTTCACTCTGCGGTCCAGCTCACCCCAAACCATCTCGATTGGGTTCAGGTCCGGTGACTGTGGAGGCCAGGTCATCTGCCGCAGCACTCCATCACTCTCCTTCTTGGTCAAATAGCCCTTACACAGCCTGGAGGTGTGTTTGGGGTCATTGTCCTGTTGAAAAATAAATGATCGTCCAACTAAACGCAAACCGGATGGGATGGCATGTCGCTGCAGGATGCTGTGGTAGCCATGCTGGTTCAGTGTGCCTTCAATTTTGAATAAATCCCCAACAGTGTCATCAGCAAAACACCCCCACACCATCACACCTCCTCCTCCATGCTTCACAGTGGGAACCAGGCATGTGGAATCCATCCGTTCACCTTTTCTGCGTCTCACAAAGACACGGCGGTTGGAACCAAAGATCTCAAATTTGGACTCATCAGACCAAAGCACAGATTTCCACTGGTCTAATGTCCATTCCTTGTGTTTCTTGGCCCAAACAAATCTCTTCTGCTTGTTGCCTCTCCTTAGCAGTGGTTTCCTAGCAGCTATTTGACCATGAAGGCCTGATTCGCGCAGTCTCCTCTTAACAGTTGTTCTAGAGATGGGTCTGCTGCTAGAACTCTGTGTGGCATTCATCTGGTCTCTGATCTGAGCTGCTGTTAACTTGCGATTTCTGAGGCTGGTGACTCGGATGAACTTATCCTCAGAAGCAGAGGTAACTCTTGGTCTTCCTTTCCTGGGTCGGTCCTCATGTGTGCCAGTTTCGTTGTAGCGCTTGATGGTTTTTGCGACTCCACTTGGGGACACATTTAAAGTTTTTGCAATTTTCCGGACTGACTGACCTTCATTTCTTAAAGTAATGATGGCCACTTGTTTTTCTTTAGTTAGCTGATTGGTTCTTGCCATAATATGAATTTTAACAGTTGTCCAATAGGGCTGTCGGCTGTGTATTAACCTGACTTCTGCACAACACAACTGATGGTCCCAACCCCATTGATAAAGCAAGAAATTCCACTAATTAACCCTGATAAGGCACACCTGTGAAGTGGAAACCATTTCAGGTGACTACCTCTTGAAGCTCATGGAGAGAATGCCAAGAGTGTGCAAAGCAGTAATCAGAGCAAAGGGTGGCTATTTTGAAGAAACTAGAATATAAAACATGTTTTCAGTTATTTCACCTTTTTTTGTTAAGTACATAACTCCACATGTGTTCATTCATAGTTTTGATGCCTTCAGTGAGAATCTACAATGTAAATAGTCATGAAAATAAAGAAAACGCATTGAATGAGAAGGTGTGTCCAAACTTTTGGCCTGTACTGTATATGGTTTGATGCAGAAGTAGGTTTTATGTGGGAATATGGTTAATAGAGTGACTTGGGTCAAACTACATTTTGGCAGGTAAGGGTAAGTATAAAGTAAAAAGACAGTATTAGGTTCAGTACCAGTGGCGGCTGCTGGTCTTTCAAACAGGGGAGGCTCACTTTAAATTTACATCATAAGATTTGTCATATTGTGGCGAGGCAGTAACTTATAAAAGGAACATTTAATTGAAGCCGTTTTTCAACAACACTCATGCCATAGAACCACAGCAAAACACCTCAACGATTTTCAGATGGGTTTAAGAAGAAGAAGACTCCACTCGCAAATATCCGCATGGGACTGAGCTCGGAATGCGACGATGCCAGTGTGTATTTCCAAAGTGCTGTCAATCACAAAGGGGTTCAGCCTTTTAGACAATTCCTCCAATCATCATGCATACACCGAGCGTCCTCTCCCGCCTACCGCTCCATTAGGTCCCAGGGAAGCTGAGCCTCCCTGGAAGTGACTATTTTGTCGCATTTATCCAATGACCATCTCGCTTTGCTGCATGAAAAAAACCTGCTCAGCGCTGTCTCATAGGAATGCTTGGAGGCTCCGTGTCCACCTTGCTGATACGAGAATGTATGACAGGGGGTCGTGTTTGAAAACCGGTGATAAACAGCTGATATTTGAGCATCATAGTCATGATGTTAAACGCATCCTAGCGCACATTTAATGCAATGTGAATCATTATTTTAATGTAAATTCAATAGTGCATGTTTGCCCATTTCTTCTATGAAATTTTAGGGAAGTTCGGCCTCCCTTGTTGTCTCAGAGCAATCGTCCCTGGTTCAGTGGTAGGTTAAAAGATTAATAACATAAGAAATGTGGACTTTGAAACAGAACAGCAGGACTAATTTTGACAAAAAAATGGATAAATTTGATAAAATGTTTGTGACAATTAAGACCTGACTATTTAAATGGTTAAAATGTATAAACTGAATTTAAGATGTTTTAAGACTTCTTAAGAACCTGCAAACACCCTGATTAACCTTCGAACATTCAACAGGTGTCTTTTTTAGGGTTGTTATTTAAAGAATATCCATTTAATTTTGTGTATTTTATCATAAATAGATGTGTAACTATCAATAGTGGAAATTACATTGTAATAATTGCCCTAACAGATTGTAATGTTTTCTCAATAACCTACAACTTCTCATCTAAAACCATCATACCTACTATATAAGAATGATTTGTATCTGAAATTGACTTCATGTGTGGGTGATTGGTTAACTTTAAAAACACTTGTGACTATGTCTGTGACTTTTATCATTTCATATTATACCAGAGGCACAACACTGAAACGTCCACAAGTCAGACTCCAAAAGGTCAATGAGTTGGCGGTTTCCCCGTTTATCATTGCTTTGTCTACTGCGCTCCCTCGAAAATCATTTCCTCCTTAAAGCAGAATGAGCAGAGTCATTACTTCCTTCCTTTGACTTTGATGTTTCGTTCTGTCCTTGGCTGCAGCACTGTTTCATAATCAAGTGGGATCAGATATTTTTTTTGGACCTGAATGTGAAACAATGCTGCTGAAACGCGTGACAAAAACCGAAACTTTTATTACTTTGTTAGAAGAAATCATCAGTAGGAGAGAGACAGTGAGGTCGAGAATTCTCTGAGACGACTGCCAGCGATAACTGAAATATCACACAGTAGCATGTACTTTCAGAAAACAAATTTCCTTTATTCATCATATTTTTCATAATAATTAAAACTTGGTGTGCAAACCATCCAGACTTTCTAAAATGAAAGTATTGTGTAGATTTTCCAGACTAACTAGCTTAAACTTCCTGAGAAACCTCCCACACTGTTGGCGTCTTTTGTCACATACCATCAAAGGTTACATGAGATAAAAGGAACTAGAACAAAGACCTGTCTCTCTCCTCTTCCTCCGCTTTTATGTTCACAATCAGATGTCCTTTCTCAACATACAGAAATGATTAAAAGGAGAAATGCTTTTCTACAGACTTGGAACATGAAGATGATTTGCATCTTTGTCATCTCTTGCATCATTTGCATGTGATTTAACAGCGAAGACAACAGTTGTGTCATAATACCACAACTAGATATAAATATAACAGAAAATGACCAATGCCCGTCAAACCATGTCATCAGTTCAAAGCTTGGGTCCGTATTTAAGGGTGTTTTAATTATAGTGTCTTGTTTTAATTGTTGATCAGTGCATGAACAGGCTTTATGTGTGACACCAAGGGGAAGGTCTAAGAATCACATCCAGCACATAAAAGCTAAATTTGACTCCATAAAAGTCCAAATTGTGTTTTTACACAGGTAAGCTGATGCAGGAGTGAGGATGTATGGCTCATGTGAGTAGGAGGAAACGGTGTTTTTGCCTTCTGGTTCACCCTTGTTGCCCCGTTGCATTATCCTCCTGCTGAGAAAGGGTAATCGCAAGTGTCTCACGCCAGCTCAGGTTAGCTCTTCTCAGACCGGTTCCTATTCAGAGCTGCTCTAGGTGTGAACTCCAGTTTCTCTTTGAGGCTAAGCACCTGGGTGCTGTCCATACCCTCTTGTTCCTGCAGCTTCCTCTCCTCCCTCAGTTCCAGGATGCTCACCTCCTCCCGAGGTTTTGGGGTCCCTCTGATAAACCACTCCAGGTGGTAGCCCACTGCTCCCACCACAAAGGCCACGGGGAAGGTGACATAAGGGGCATAGGTCCGTACCGCCGTCCAAACTACAGGCCACATGACTGCAGTCCGCTTTGGCTCCCGGGTGCTCAACAGGGGAAAAACATAATTGTGTTTTAACTTACATTAACAGTTGATCACAGTGTAATTCAATATTAAGAGGGAAAATGTAGCTACCAGAAAACTTCAACTAATAGCCTGGGCTATTATTTGCTTAAATCACTGAAATATTCGGGACAGGTGTCTACATGGGACAGGCCTTTAATTCATTTCACGCAAAACTGTTGCTCGGCAAAGAGCGGGAAAGAGCGGGAAATACAACCAAATTTAAACCTGTATGAATATTATTTAAATAAAAAATTAGACTTCAGATAATATATCATACATAGAGGCATACTGACACTAGGGCTGCAACTAACAATTATTTTCATTGTCGACTAATCTGTTGATTATTTCTTCGATTAGTCAACTAATCATTTTATCGAAAAATGTGTTAAAATGTTGAAAAATGTCGGTCTGTCTCTCCCAAACCCAAAAACTATGTCATTTAATGTCTTGTTTCGTACTCATGCCAAAGGGTTTTAGTTCACCATCATGGGAGAGTGTGTAAAGCTGCCAATATCTGAACGTAAGAAGCTGCATATAAGAGTATTTTGGGATACTTTTATAGTACTTTTCTATGAAAAAAGACTCAAACCGATTAGTCGACTACTAAAATAGTCACCAATTATTTTAATAGTCAATTAGTCATCGATTCGTCGACTAATCATTGCAGCCCTAACTGACACAACCCCACTTTATCCTGTGAAAACAATACTCACAACTTGGACTCATTTTTATGAAAAACTCTTTTAGTTTTTTGATCCGAGGACCATAACGGATTGAAGGAGTATGATTAACTTACAACGTAATCAAGCAATGGACACCTAATTTGAAGTAGCAAACAACCCAGTTTTATACATCTGAAGAATTTCTATTAAAAAAAATGAGCTGCTTTACAACCAGACCAGGCCTCTAATTGAGACAGGCGTATATTTGTCAAAATGTGCAGCCACACCAGGCTAGTAAAAAGTTTTACTGGAACTGGGCTTTTAATTTAAGTTTTACGGTAAATGTACCTAACAGAGCATTACGTACAAGTGCCAACATGTAACTGACTTTAATAACACACTGTTACCAACAAGACAGTATATTAAAAAATGTCATTTTGTCTTCCATCAGGTTTTAACCACAAGGGGGGAAATCTGCAGAGAAAGTGTGTCACATTTTAATATCATATCAAAACTATTGAGGGCATAATAATCTTTATTAGACATGAAAATAATCCAGCTGGATTTGTAGTGTTAACACCTGGGATGACTGAAATTGACAGTGTCCACACATGCATACAGTATAAATCTAGTGTAGTGTATTTATAACATAAGCAAGACGCCAGTCAGACACCAGACATCAAGGCCTGTCTGTCCTTCTCATGCCCTCCTCACCTTTGCTTTGCCCCAACCAACAACATGTAGTTTACAAAGCGAATGGCGGAATAACGAGAAGGCCCTGAGCAAAACAGCCCAAAACGTAAGTCCAAAGACAAACAACAAAGATGTTAACAGCTTAAACATATGCCAACATAACGTTAGCATTGCTATGTCAACGTTAATGCTAACTTGGGCTCTCTCAAGGGAACTTCAGACATGGTTTACAACGTACAAGTTAAAAAACTATGACAAAATGCGTTTATTGTTGTGTTGTTGTCTTGCCGAATTGGAAAGAGGTTCTCCTCAATTCTGAAAGAGCATTTATTTATGTCTGGCACCGTGTGGTTTACTTTGTACGTAACAAACAAAAATTAAATGGTCAAATTTGCTATGGAGTTTGGCATGGCGCCGGCTAACTATTATCATAACCAACCGATAGCGAGGAGCGTGGCGGGAACAAACTTGTGAGGCATGTTAAAATATGAGAAAATGTTTCGTATTTATTTCCCTAGGACTATCGTTGAGTTTTGAATTATGTAACAGGCGTTATTGCGTAGAAGTCTCGACACGAAACTGCTTGTAACCGGCTACACTCAGGTAAGTTAATAAGTAACGTCACAGTCCGAGCGGTGACATTCAAAAGCTGCATCCGCCATGTTTGTTACAAGAGTCCGTGTGGCGTTTATATCGCTCTAATATTTTGAAAATGACATTAGTTTCATTCATTAGCCTTCACTCACCTTTACCGTTAGCACTTTGGTGCAGCAGTGGAGATATACGCAATATCTGTGCGACAGTCTGTCACTTCCTGGTTGAACTTGATTGGCTGATGAGCCTCGCTCTGCTATAACGAAGAGGGTTGTAACTGTGTTTTCCTCGATGTTTTAGCACCGCCTAGTGGTCAAAATAGGACACTACATTGAGATGAGGAATGCCAAAACATGCATTTCATTTTTTGTTTGTTTCTTTTAGGTACCTATTGCATAACACCTGACATTACTTACTATATACACTAACTATAAATACATGTATACTCAATTTAAGATCATTAAAATGTGGACTCACTGCAGTAAAAAAGACTCAGTGATGCACTACTTGGGTTATATAGTATGTTAATATAACATTGCAACATTTATAATGTAATTTTCTTGTTTGTGTATCATTTGAGACCTGACACAAAGGTTTCCCACATCTTATTAAGCTGTAAAACAGTTTAATACTTCATAATCAAATAACCTAAAAGCATCTGCTTTATGAATAAGAGGAACTGTGCTCGTGCATACATGCATGTTTGTCCCTTCCCTGACTGGAAGCCTCACAAATACCATCTCTCTCTGTGATCAAACCACGACGGCATTCTTGCAAAAAAAAAAAAAAAATCCTCCTCTTGGGGAATACTCATGAAAGGCTGACAGATCTGTCACCAGCGTTGTCGTACGCTGACGAGGCGTGAGCTACCTTTCTTGGATGACAAACCTCTCAAGTGCAAAGATGGTTTTTCTTTTAGTTCTGAGAGCGCAGCTTGGCATATGAGGACTGATACACGTTCAGAGGCTTGGTGCGCTGTATAAAGACAAACAGTTTCAGAAGTTTTGCTGTTGTTTACTTTAACTGCGTATGAGGGATGCAGAGAAATTGTGTACATTTCAGCCACCCGGTGGGAAGCCATAAATTGCAGCGTTGACTGTAGGGGGAAGAAAATATGCTACTGTAGTTTCTGGGTAGTGAATCGGTAAGTGTTCTTTGCGAGGCTCCGTATGATTGATGACACTAATGTTTCAGCTCCCAGGCTCAAAACTATAGCATGCAGAATGCGGGGCTGATCCATAGCGACTGGAATGCAGCCTGTCATGGAGCGATGACCAGTTCTGACTCATTGGTCATTTGTGCAGAGGCAGAGAGTTTAAAACACAGAGCTATATTTGTATTAATATGCTACGACTTCAAATGAGTGTTCAAATTATTGTGATTAGCAGGATTCTGTGTGGGTGATTATGCTTCACGCTTCCAAATGATTCTTTTAAGCAGTTCCTCCCTCTATGCTGTCCATCTTGTAGTTGCCAGAACTGGCATTTGATCAGTGCTGTCAGATAAAGTGAAATGTGCTCATCCCCCCTGCAGGAAAACATTACTAGTGCCAGTTCTGCTTTACCAGCAACCTCAGCAGCGCCAGGATTATTTCATCAGCTCCTGTTCATTAGTAAATGAGATTTAGAGCTGCACTAGCCAAGAGTTTTATGTAAAAATACAACCATCTTATCAATCTCAATCACAAACCGGGGCTGACAGAGTGAAGCGTTACATCCTCACTAACCGCAGCCCCGCAGACCTGCTCTATTTGCCCGAGTTAATTACAGATGTCAGACATGGTCAGTGGTGGGAAATTTCCTCATTACACAGGAAATGACAATCAGGACTTTGGTTAAATTACTGTTGAATCACATTAGCCAGAAAAGGCTCTCTCTGAGGGCTGAAACCTACAAGCGTGGTGCACTTTTGGTCCCCAAACTCAATGTTTAGACAGCGGTCAAGACACTAAAGCACATGCGTGTTCAGGTGATGTGTCAGACGGGAGGGAGAGTGGAGGACCTGGGACGGCTAAGTTTAGCCTCAGATTGAGGCGGAGGGTGAGGGGTTAAGGAGCAGACGGATGAGAGATATGACCAAAAAAGATGCACCAGAGAATTTGATGGATTGCCTCTGGTTTGGAAAGAGACGAGGAGGAGCAGGAGGACTCTTGACACGGACTGCGATCAAGCAGAGTCACAGATGGTGAGGGATAGAAGGGCCAGATGTGGAAGGGGAAGACAGGGGCTCTTTTGCTCTTTTGTGCAGCCAATCTGGCCTGCGAGGGAGGGATTAGTCACTGATTTGGGGCATTTTGGGTTCAAGGGGTCATGAGTAGGGTTTGGATTTCAACTTGCCATGACTGATATTAAACAAAAATACAGTAAACTACATTAACAACTGCACTTTAGTTGAGATAAAACATCAATTCTGACGTGATTTTCCTCCATTTAAGTACAAGAATATGAATCAGTCAAAATGTGACAAAAAAAAGCATTTATTTGTTTTTGGCAGTTAGGACCATTTTGGCATATTCACTGATTTCAAAACACAAGTGTATCATCTCTCAAAGTACTGGCCCCACCATCACTGCAAATCCCATTTCACTACAGGGAACACACTGTCGTGCTGTTGGGTCTCTTCTCCTTTGTCCACAGATATTTTATTTATTATTATTATTATTATTATTTTTATTTATTTTTATTTAAAACTCGCTAACGGAGGTACACCTTAGCAAAAACTAAAATAAATTTCTTTCATTCTCAACACTTACTGGCAGAGCTTTACCAGCAACACCCTACTAAATGTGAGAGTGTAATATTTCTGATATTATAAAATGTGGCCCTGTTTAGCTTGATTACACACATACAATATAAAGCAATGTTCGAAACAATGTGCAACCACTGCATGGGAATACACTCTGGAAATGCTGAATATTTCCTGATATACATACATTTAAAAGGCGTTTGCATAGGAATAATTTAAAGGGTACCTGGTATTTTTCAACCTGGAGCCAATTTTCCCAGGTTTTTGTGTCGAAGCAACTAATGGGAACAGTTTTTGAAGTCCAGTATTGAGTGAGAAGGCTGCAGCTGGCAGCTGTGAAACAGGCTGCAATATAACCAAATGGGGCATTTGTACACTGTGATTTCACATCCACTGAAGTGTTTAGTTTTGCCACTGAGGGGCTCAGATTATTATTCAAAGTGTCTGACAACATTATAGAGAGGATCCTACTGAGACTGAGCTTTTTGTTGAAGTGTGAGATCCTTTTTGTTCAATGAGGAAACAGTTGCCAAACACACCAGACTCCATTTCAATGAACAGTAATTTTACCATTGTAAAACATACTTCTTTAAAAGTCAACCAAGACCAAATACAACTCACAAAAACTGTCTTGGTTCATCTTTCTGCAGTTCCAACAGTCACCAACTCTGGTTTGGTAAATAAACCCTAAATTCACCCAGTTAGATGTGAAAACATGCTTCTTCTATACACCCCAAAATGACTGTTGATTTAAATGGAGTCTGGTGAGGTTGTTGGCAATTATTTCAGGGCTGTGTCTAGCTAAACTAAAAGGATCTTACTCATGAAAAGCAGGTCTATCTCCTTTCCATAATGCTGTTAGACACAATCTGAGCCTGTCAGTGGCAAAAACAAGTTTTAGAGGACATCAACTGACAGTGCACAAATGTCCCGAGTGGTCAAACTGCAGCCTGTTTTACCACTGGAGACTGGACCAAGTTCACAAAATGTTGTTTTCATCGGTCACTTAAGGTGTTTTCACATATAGTCCTTTTTAAATAAACTGAACTCAGTCCTCTTCAAGTGCACCAAAAAGTGGACCAACAGAAAAAAGACTCACAGTTGAATTCAAAGAGGACACAGTTCTCTATCTGGTCAACTTCAGCTCTGACGGACCCTCAGTCCTCTTTGAAATATTATGAAATATATTGACGTAGCTTATTTTTTTCACTTTGACCTGGCACTTGATTATGAAGCCCCTCGCTTTCAGATGAACCACCAGATGACCACCTTCTGAGTATGGTTATGGGTCTGAGTTCTCTTGGAGTGTTCACATATGTGCAAAAGTCGTCAGAGGTTGTTTAGGGCTGAAAAGGACCAAGTGTGAAAACACCCTTAGACACAAAAACTTGAGAAAATAGGATAAAGTTTGAAAAATACTCAAGTAACTCTTTAATGCTGCATGTGAGCAAATTCACAGGATAATGACTGTCAGCAAATCTCACATGTAAACAGAAGCTCTCCTGTTATCTCAGTTAAACTATTCAGAATTTCAATCAAATACTGGTACTAGTAAACAATAATCTTTGTGTCATCAAGGCATGTATGGTAAGATTATGACTGTGACCTGCTGACCCCTGGTGAAGGATAAGCCATCAAGTAAAGGCTTCAGCTGCCTTTATAACAGCTGCTGAACTTTATCCAAGTGCATGGTGTAAGGCTTTATCTATTTACAGCAACAAGCCATGGCATAATGTGTTCTGGCTGATATACTGTATGTATACCAACAGGTAGGGGCACTTATGGTAGAGCATTGAGTAATATATGACCTGAACATGGAATGATACTGTGAATCCACAGTGCTGAGGGAATAGCCAGTGGAATGAGGCTCACATGAGCCTGGTGATGGCCCCCGAGAGGAAATCCTCATAGTTAAGGCGGATGTTGCCTGTCATGGTCGTGTCTTTCTCCCTGAAGACCTGCGTCATGCTCTGGAGCTGGGTGCACACGTGGATGAAGCGGTCCATCTGAATGCCCGGCCGTGCGCCTCGCACGGCGAAGCGTCGCACCAGCGTCTCGGAAAACTGGGGACTCAGGTTGTAGCCCATCTGAGCGAGGGCTGGGGACAGGAGAGGAAAGAGAAACAAGGTCGGAGTTAGTTTTGTTTTTCCTCTGCTGAAAGTCTTGGGTTTCATTTTGGTTTTAAAGGTCCAGTGTGTAGGACTGTGGGGGATATAATTGTTAATTGTTCAACTTTAACACACACACACACACACAACTGGGGATACCTTGGTGTAGCTCTGCACCATTGATAGTGCCTGAGCGGTCCCTGTCGTACTGCTGAAAGAGTGCTCTCCACCGCTGCATGAAGTCCCACAGTGCTGAGAAGCCAAACAGGTCCATTCGGCCCGACCGCGTCTTGTCAAACATGTCTAACAGGAAACACAAAGCACAGCACGTTCACACAGTTTTCTTCACTTAAAGATCCGCATTCTTTTAAAACAGGGCAAAAATGTGAAGCACATTTTCAGCATGTTTCTGGCGATCCCGTCGTCGATCATCATGGATCCTCTTGTGTTGTTTAAAAGTAGCCCATAAGAGTCACACATTTGTCATTATGATAATGGAACACGAGTCCCTGCTTTGCAAACACAACTGGAATGTAGAGACTAACAGGTACCGTTTTTTAGCCTGACTCCAGGCTGCCTAAATGTCTCCCTTTAGAAACACAAGATATTCAGAAGGTTGAGAGATTTAAAGGGCAACACACATATAAAAGGAGCCAGCGTTCTCTGCCCTGCCCTTATCTGTTTGTTTTCCTAAATAACCTCTTCCTGCTCTTTGCTGTAGCAATTAAGATCACTAACAGTATCTTACATAGTTAAACACTGAGTCATTTTGCCTGAAGAAACACTTTCAAACACCGATTTATTAACACTGTTGAGCACCTCGCTGCAGCTGTATGACTTACTGATCATCATGAGGCAGGTCTCGTCATTAAAAGTGGACCAGTTGGAGTTGAAAAGAGCCTGCTTCAGCTCCTTTAGGTTGATAAAGCCACTGTGGTCCGTGTCGACAGTGTGGAACCACTGGTATGCCTCTGGGTTAACACCAGGAGGGATGTTACCTGCAGAGAGGGGAAATAAGAGCAGTAATAAGATGGTGAAGACTGACTCTGAAGGTGCCCGTGATTGTTTTCTTAGCATGCTCTTGTTTCCATCACTACTTCTTCAATCTGTCTGAGCCAACGAGTTTGATTTATTCCCTTTATTATTTCCCATCATTAGGTTTTTTTTCCCAGTTTTTATTTCACTGAAGCTCTCATGCTTTGAGGGGTAATGGATATGAAAAGAGAAATAGAAGAAGAGCCAAGAAAAAGAAGAGGGTTCTTGGAAATGAAGCGGCTGCCTCGTTCCGATGCAAAACAATTACTTATTTATTGAGAGATGAAGAAACACGCTCCTGCTGTCTGACAGTTGAAACTGCGCTGACTCTGTCAAGCAGAAACTTGATCATAAAAAAGAATACATCTGTGCTTGACTCAGGCTTTTAGCTTTGGCGTTTAGAAGGCACTGGATTGGGAAAAAAGCACAATATATAATGACCATAACATAAACTGTGTGTAGCACTGACATGGCAAATATAATTCCTATAACTAAGACGGTTTTATATGCAGTTACGGTATTTGCTTATAGAAATTAAAACAACACAGCAACAAAAAACTGCAGCTGCAGGGTCAAGGGTTGAGGACAAGTCATTTCAGTGAGAGGGAGAAAGTGTCAGGGCAAGAGGCCATTACCTGAATACATGGTGGAAGAGAAAGGGGATGTTAGAAAATACAGTGTGAGACGAGGGGAGGAGCAGAGGGAGGGCTGATTGTCAGGAAAATGAATGGGTAGAAAGGGACAGGTGACACTTGAGGCCAGACCCTGATGGAGTCTGTCCCTGTGGGGATTGATAGCAACATGGGATTTCAGGTTCTGACTTACGCTGAGCTGCTACTGGAAACAGTGTAATCACACACACATATACACACACACACACAGCACACTCTTTACCCATCTGTCTCGTACTCTGTTTAGCCCTCACTCAGTATTACCGGAGTCATGACTCCAGCCGTGTAATCCTGCTGAGGGGCACAAACTGAACCCTGTCTCTACATGACTGTCTGGGAACGTAAGTCATTTTCTATCCGTCATCCCACCAGAGAGTGAGGAGGAGAGAAAATGAGGGGGAAGCAATGAAGAAAGGGAATGAGAACCCATCTGCAGTCTCTCCGTGTTCAGAATATGCCTCCCACAGGCAGAGGTACCGCAGAAGCAAGCTCCAGTCTCGGCCTATATTTACCTGCAGGGGCATGGTGCCCGTAAGGTCCTCCATGGGGCTGTCCCCCGTAACCCCCATAATGCCCGGCAGGGGCACTCCCTGGTCCATGCCCATATGGCACTCCTTGACCTGGGACCCCATAAGCACCATGAGGAGCTCCTGTTTGATGTGCGGCACTATATGGCCCATATGGACCACTGCCTCCCCCGTATGGAGCACCTGGTTGGGGGTTGCCTCCTCCTGGATAGCCCTACAGTGACACACAAGAGAAGGTCACTGAAACTGTATGATCAGTGCTAGATATTAAACGGGCTGTGTGTGGCTAGATGGATCCTTGTACAACCTCTTTTGTGAGATGAAAAACACATGAGCTAAATACTCCCTGCCTAGTGATGCAAGGTAACTAAATACATTTACTCAAGCACTGTAATTAGAGAAATACCTCACCTACAAAATGACCATTTGTAAATCAATTAGTCATGCTGTATTACCTTCAATTTGTAAGGATAATGTTTTTTTCTCGCATGCCCCCCAATGGTGAAAATATTAATTTAATGATTGATTGGGGACCCTATTTAACATCAGCAAAACTAAATCAAAACATTTGCGTGCACACTCTGTATCATCCAAGTCTCATTTATCCAGTCTTATGCTCAGTACTTCAAAACACGTGAATTGTCAGCAAAACCTTATAATTTAAAACTAAACTGAAAGTGAATCTTATCTATACTCTCTTCAAAGCCAGACCCCAATACTCAGGTTTCGTGAAAATTCATGTGTTTAGGAAGTACTGAGCATACGACTGGATAAATGAGACTTGGATTATACTGCACAGGTTGTGTGAGAGTTTGAAAACACGTGTTGATTTAGTTTTGCGTTGTTGAACGTGGTCCCAATCTATAATAAATCAATATGTTTCCTTTTTCCATGGAGGCATGTGAGAAAAACAGTGTTTTCTTCAAGAATTCAAGGTAACACAAGCTAAATAATAGATTTACAAATGGTCTTTCTGTGGGTGAATTATTTCTTTAAATGCACTTTTGAGATACTATATACTTATACTTTGCACCCCACTACAACTCAGAGGAAAATATTCTTTGTAGCTCACTACATATATAATTAACATGCAGGTTAAGATAACACTTACAAACATATAATTAGGGTTGCAGCGCAGCCATATGCCCGTTTTAAGGTATACTGTGATGCAAAAGTTGACAGTTATCATTATCATACCGTGTACATTTGCTCATCTACGATACTGAAAAAAAGTGCAACTGGATGAAGAGTCTCCCCTTTATTTTAGTTATTTTTTAAACCGTAGAAATTTTACACATACCTCTGTTAACAAAATGGTTTCAAGTTTCAATTATAGTAATAAAACGTTTGTTCAACCAAAAATAACCGTTCCTTTTTAATTCCTTTAAGGGTCATTTTGACTTATAATAATAAAAATTCTGTGATACTGTGATAGTGTGCGCCACTGTCACCTCAGGTTAACTTATATCGCAGCGGTGCCTGGATGGTGTGACGTGTGTGGTTGTGCTGCTGCCGTGGTCCTGCCAGATGCCTCCTGCTGTTGCTGTTATCATTAGTCATAGTTCTACTGTCATTATACACATATGATTATTGTCACATACATATACTATCATATATTATTATATACCAACAACATATTGTACCACAATAGCCGTAATTATTATTATATTATTATTTTCATTAATGTTGTAAGCTACTGTCATTACCGTCTGTCCTGCATCTCTCTCTCTCTCTCTCTCTCTCTCTGTCTCAATGTGTCATGTGGATTACTGTTAATTTATCATGCTGATCTGTTCTGTACGACATCTATTGCACGTCTGTCCATCCTGGAAGAGGGATCCCTCCTCAGTTGCTCTTCCTGAGGTTTCTACCATTTTTTCCCCCGTTAAAGGGTTTTCCTTATCTGCTGTGAGGGTCCTAAGGACAGAGGGATGTCGTATGCTGTAAAGCCCTGTGAGGCAAATTGTGATTTGTGATATTGGGCTTTATAAATAAAACTGATTGATTGACAATATTTTCAGAGACAGTTACTGTACCGTAGAATCTCATACCACAGCAACCCTACAGGTAATTAGTTTAAAATATTATACAGGATCATGTAGCCTGGATTCAAGGCAGCCAAAATTAGCTCAATTAAACTTATCAAAGCTTCTTGCGTAATTAATACATAATAATCCAACTGTAAGTTTACTATAAGATTCTGGAGGAGGTCATTTTCAAGACTATTACTTTAACGTTTTGCTGACTTACTTCTGTACTTTCCTGTAAACATTTTAAACGTATGACTAATGTGTTTACAGTGAGATAATGTTACTTTAGCTAGCAAAGATGTGAACACTTTTTCCGCCACTCAAACTACGTCATTTAGGGACATTTTGCTCAGAAAAACTACAAAAACATCGCCACAAGTTAACAATAAATAAGACAGACTACCCTGTTAAGTTAAAAACATGTACACACACAGTGTTAAACTATAACACCAGCAATGTTAGCGCGGTTTAAACTCATATAACGTTAGCAAAACACACCTCAACATAATCATCGTAAGCTACTAACTGATGTTATCATGTAGCAACAGTTTACATTGTTAACTGCTACCCTTAGCACACAAATGAATGGCTAACGTTACCTGTGTTTCTACGTCATAAACCATTAGTTACGTTACGTCGAGGCAATAAAACAGGTAGTACAGCTATTTAACAATATCAACATGTTATTTTTATGAACATATATAGATACCTGGCCGTGGTGGAAACTCATGTTTGACAGACTTTACTTCCTTCAACAAGGCAGCAGCCGTGAAGGCGGATACAGCATCGTCAGACTCGGGCTAACTATTGGTGCATTTCCGGGTCCGTCACAGCCGCACCCGCGTCTCCTGCTCCTGATTGGACGGCAGAGTGGAAAGGCGATGACGTCAGAGCGAAGAGGTGTGAATCACTGTGTCCGTCACTCTCATGACAACCCAATACTTTGTAAGTTAGTCACTAACTGTGTCGTTATGCAATAGACACCGGCTTAACTGAGAGTATAATGGAGGTTTGGCTTCACAATAGGCCTTCTTAAGGGATTTATTTTAATCTCATCAAGTTTTATAAGTTCTATACTATTCCTATATTCATAAAACATAAATAAAATGCACAATGCACTAGTATGGGAACTGTATTAATGCTTAATTATTGTTTTATTTCAATGCATTTATTTTTATTTTGACTTTTTGTAGCAAAATATATCATGTCCTTTCCCATTTTGTATCTTTACAGTCAGACATGAACCCTCAACTTTAATTCAGAATCAGAATCAGCTTTATATCAATGTAATGAATGTACACATACAAGTATTTTGAAGTTCTTTAAATATTTGTCATGATCCTAAGTTTGTTTATATTCTGTTACCCTATGGATTTTGCTTTGGAGTTTTCTGTCTGTGCTCCTTGTTTCATATTATTCATTCATGTGTTTTATTTTGTAGATTCTCTCCTCATGTGCCGTGTCTGGTTTTACGTCCTGTCATTGTGTGTTTTCCCGGCTGTTTTCTGTCACACCTGTCTCATTAGTCCAGCTGTTCCCAGAGTCTTCCTTTCACACCTGTTCTGTGTTAGTCTTGTCTGCTCCACCCTAGTTGTAAGCCAATCTCCATTTCCCTCCTCTTGCCCGTGTCGTCCTACCCCAGCTGTGTCTCGCTCTTGTGAGTAGTTTTCTGTGTATATACCTGTGTGTTTCCTTTTGTTCTTTGTCAGTTCATCTGGGTTCATCATGTGTCATTCCTGTTCTCACCCTTGTGTTCCTGGTGTCATTCCCTGCTCTGTTCCCTCCCTGGTGTTCTGTTTGGATGGTGGATTTGAGTTCATTGTATTTTCCCAGTTGGTTTTCAGTTTAGTTTTGCCTCTGCTTTCATGGACTCTTAGTTAGGCCTACCTGCTTGTACCTGCATTTGGGTTCTCCTTGAACTGAGGTGACAATATTAACTGATAACTGGATTTGATTTTGCATTTTACTTCAAAGTATTTTAAGTGTTTTACTTGGCAACTTATTTTCTTAAAAGAAATATAGCAAAGATACATATCATGCACTTAAAGTAACACTTGAGGTAGTCAACTGAATATATCCTTGGTAATCTACCAAAAAATGTCCCAAATTAATCGACTTCACTCAAAATGGAAGTCAAATTTCCATACGTGTGTTCACATACTTCGAAACATTAAGGCTGATTCTGATTGCTGATTGTTTCACGTATGATAACCCTGAAAAGGTTTTTCGAAAAGAACAAAGGACACTTACTCGGAAATATTTTGACAGTGAAATAACTTTGTAGATATCAACAATAAATACAAAAAAATGAAATATATCATCTGGAGTCTTCATTTACAAAAAAAAAAATCCAAATTTGTGGGTATAAAAACATTTGTGTATTTTTTTTTCAATGGTATGTTCATACATGCGTCATACCTTCATTAAGCAATTCACAAAATATCAACAGGAGTAACTCTTGAACAGTAAAGAGCATTTTCTTCATCTTGCATGTCTGAGAGTAAAAAACCTTCAAGTGATTTCTTCCAATTACTGCGTCAACCCGACAGGAAGTGCTCTGTGTTTGTTGTGTTTTGTTTTATCTATTAGAGGGCAGTGTGTGTGTTCAGGGAGAGGGCCCGCTCTCTGAACTGTACAGTATTTACATCACTTGGGGTCTTTCAACATTTTATACTTCTATTTACAAAGTACTTGGTATAACAGCTTAAACATACTGTGTACTTCTGTCCAAAAAATACAATTACAAACACAGACATGCACACATTCACACACTCACACACACACACACACACACACACACACACACACACACACACAAACCAATTCCAAAAAATATTCTAAACCCTTTTACTTCCTCTGTAATCCTCCCTTTTGAGGGATTAATTTGCATGCATAAGGTGTGCGTTCCTGCAGACATGATAATATTTACAAAACGCTGCCTCAGAAATCCCTGAATTTGATGGATATCTCTTTGGTGTTGAGCAGCAGTTCTCTACAGAGTCTGATGAATGCATTTGCCTGCAATAGCCCCTTCAGTACTTTGCTCAGTTTTTTTTCAACATGGCCGCCGCCCAATTGTTCATCATTTTTTCTGAGATGGCCCCTCCTCTTCCTTGATGTTACTGAGATTCTGGATAGAGACTGTAGGATCCACTCTGACTGACGTTTGGGACCTGAACTCCGACCTGGGCGCTGCCAACGGCGTCATCTCGTGATTCTCTGCGAACAACCTCCTCTCCGCCTCGGTTTTCCTCTTGATGAGTTTCTGGATGCGTTTGCAGATGAGGTAAATCATCTCGCAGATACACATGAGGATGCAGAAACCAGAGGAGACCACCATGAAGAGGGTGAAGATCTTCTTCTCGGTGGGACGGGATATGTAGCAGTCCACCGTGTTGGGGCACGGCGCCAGGGAGCACTTGGACAGGCGGGGCATGTCGTAGCCTTCATAGACGTGGTACAGGATGTAGAGGAAGCCAGCGTCGAAGCCAGCCTTGAAAATCAGACTCACCTATTGGAAAATAAATGAGGGTTAAACTGGGAGAAACATTTTTCAGGAAGTTAAAATAAATGAAGCAAAAGTCAATTTTCCTGTCCATCCATCAAACAAGATCTATGCAATTTTTCAGTCGCCAGTCTGAGATAATAAATGAAGGAAGATAATTGACCTAATGCAGGATCTATAATAAAAAAGATAAAGATTCTCATACAGCTTCTGTCTCATTTGAAGTGATGGTGAAACTTGTTTGTGATTGGGCCAAGAGGTGCAAGATAAGCTGTCAGAGCTGTTTTTTTTTTCTTGCGATCAGGACAAAACAAATCAAACATAATTACACAAATGTCTTCTCCTGCCTTTTGTGCATAGCCACTCGTCCATGGCAATTATTTTTGACATTTTCTAACTATGACTAATTCGGTCTGGTTGAGGCCAAAGCACAGCTGTGTCTGCTTTTCGCATGTGACGTCTGCAGCTAGGCCAGAAATAAACTTTCACATCCTCTGTTCTTACCAGGTATGTCCACCACAGACCCCCACGTTTCTTCCCAGGGTTGGCATACAGATGGGCGCCCTTGTGCGAGGCGGTGTACTGCATGTCCTTCTTCTCACGATACTTGACGTGCCCCACCACCATTAGCGACGGGCAGGTGACAAAGATGAGCTGCAGGGCCCACAGACGGATGTGGGAGATGGGGAAGATGTAGTCGTAGCACACGTTGTTGCACCCTGGCTGTGCTGTGTTGCAGACAAAGTCTTTGCTCTCGTCGCCCCACACTCGCTGGGCTGCCACCACGAACACCATCACCCGGAAGACTAAGACCATGGAAAGCCAGACGCGGCCGAACACAGTGGAGTACTTGTTGACCCCACTGAGGAGGGCCTCCAACGCAGACCAGTTCATGACTGCTGCCTTAGAGGTGGAGGAGGGGACGGAGGAGGCTGAGGGGGATGAAGGAGCTCCTCAGGAGACCAGGTGGGATGAGATGAACCTGAGAAGTGAAAGAAAGACAAAGCAGATTAGAAAAGGGATAATGGTTCAAGAACTTATTGAAAAACTCTCTTTACATTTATTAGATAAAGAGCAGTGCACATTCTTCTTTTTATATCTATTTCATTTTATGAAGTAAGGAGTGCAACAAAGTTTAAGTGATTTAATAATGAACCTCCCTTAAGTTGGACGACTTGAGAGAGACAGCTTTACAAAGACGTGTCACAATCGGTGCTGCAGCTAAGATATCCTAAAATTTAGTCCCTCAAATTGTGTGAAATTCCGGATCAATCAGATGGTGTCGTTTTTTTTACACCCTTCCTGCCTGACAAAGGCCCACATCTTTCGAACTCTACACTGCCAGTTTATAATCCAGACATTCTGATTTAAATCTGCTGTTGTCACGTCCAAGCTGACAACCTTGATGACACCACTGTGACATCATCAGGGTAGCTTCCTCTGATTCAACAAAGCTCCTCCACAGCCCCAAGAGATATTATATTAGCCCCTTTTACACTGCCAGATTTTCCACGAATGTTGAGCTGTTTTGCCGGCAAGCTGCGAACGTTTAGACACACAGAGCCGGATTGGCAAGTTGATCCGAGGTGCCCAATTTTCCGCCTTGTAGGGTAGACATATTGGTGGAACCCTTTTAGTTTAAATAGATCGAGTCGGCCTTCCTCAACTGGAGGGGCTGTTGAAGACTTGTGGGAGGAGCTGTTGATGACGCCGCACGTGCGAGCCACTGGCGGTGGATAAACAGGAAACAGCTGATAGCAGGAATGAGCAGCTAGTAGCAAGAGGGAAACACAAACCTGACAGACACTGTAAAGATGAACAACTGGGGAGACAAGGAATTGCGCGCCCTCCTTGTCCTAGCAAACAAAGAGGCCATTAACCGTCAGATGACGGGGACGGTGAAGAACGGGCCAACTTACGAGAGAATTGCCGAAGGACTGACCAGCCGCGGCTTCCCTCCCACGTCACTGTTTACGTCACGCGCTGAGCTACACGTTTTTTTACTTGCTCACGTCCCCCATTGCCCTGAAAAAGGCACATTCTGTATAAACAAAAGTAGGTAGGCGGCATTTTGCTGCACTCCCCGAATTTGTTTTTATACTGCCAATGCTGAAAAAAGACTGATTGGGCTTTCCTGCAAATTTGCACAACTCCTATCTAAAAAGGGTTAGTGTTTTCACAGACTGAATGGTACATGCATGTAAACTGAGCCTGACATATAAAATAGGGGCTCTTTGATGTTTTAGACATTTTTAGCTGTCTCATCAACAATGCTATCACTAACGCAGGGTAATCCAACCTGTTCTCATTCCCAGAGCATCAAATACTGATGCTTTATCATATCAACACCAAAGGAAGCCGTCAGTGTCTTAATGAAATTCACCAGACATACTTATGTCACATTATGTTACGTAACAATCTTATTCAAGCCAAAACATGATCTTTTTCCTGAACCTAACCACGTGTTATGGCTTATTTATGCTCAACGTTAGCTACATACAGATACGGACAAAGCCCTCAGTCCGTACTCTGCTGTTTTTTGTCCGTATTTGCACACGTCTCCCAAAAGCTCACGTATACGGACAAAACGGAGCAGTACCACTGGAGATCATGGGGGCAGCGTAGCGAAGTTCAAGCGAGATACGAATGTAGGACATCACAAAGACATTCAGAAAATGGCAGAACATCCACCTGTTGCAATGAAATTACTGGCTTCACAGACCACCACTGTCTGCAATGCTGCTTCCGTTAAAAAGTACATTATTACAGCCTCCACCATTGTCACCTTGTTTGTTGTATCTATGCCAACATACTAATGCTTTTACAGCTGTGCATCATACAGATGTGTAAAGGGTAACTGTGTGTCTATATGAGATGCCAGTGTCTGTGACAAAGTGACAATGTTTGACGACGTGGGAAAGAGGCAATTCTGGTTGATTTCAAATTATATAAAGGACACAACTAATGACAAAATACAAAAGTGTTTTAATAAAATTATCTAATAAATTTTCCATTTTCAGATCAATTCAACTTTCATATTGTTTTTTTATTTATATGAGTAATACTGTATTATAGCAATACTGCAAAAAGATATTACCACTTTCCTATTGTGTCACTCCCCCGCACTTAGAAGCTGAAGAAACAATGACAAACAAAAAAGCAATTTTGAAATGATGATCAGTTGGGAGGCGACAAAACAACCACACATCATTTTCACAAACACACTCCCGGTCATAGCTGATCCGTCTTTACACAGAGCTGCCTTTTTTACAACCGCCTCCTTATACATTAATGAGTGAGTCATCATCGGAGCCTCCCTTTGCTGAAAAGACAAACCAACACTCTCAACTCTATTAGTCAGCTATTTGAACAGTGTGGCTGATCAGGCCGCCACAGCCATCTGTGTAATCCCAAGTGCCTATTGCAGTCTTGCTTCTTCAAAGCACTGTTAGGGGATAGCATTTCATTTGTGATTGTTAAGCATGCCTTGATGGTACTGCGGGACCTGTGCTCTGTGACAGAAAGGGGATTTTAGTTAAAATAACACCATGCGGATTTAATGGTGCGATCGTGTGCAGACTTTAAAGATGGAGCTGTTATGGATGACCTGCATAGTTAGCTGGGTTTCTGTGTTTCTCTGTGTGTGGGTGTGCTTCCAGATTTCTTTGGCTCGATGTGTTTCCTCTTCCCATTTGTCTCTCTGAGGTTTGGTGGTGTGTAAATGAAGTGTTTGCACGTAGGTGTGTGCATGCATGTGCAGAATGAGTGCTTAAAAAGAGTCATTGTCGAGTGAGGGGTGGAAACATCTTTCAAATCCATATTTGATTTTGTTACGTAAGTGTAAACACAAGGAGGGTCGAAGATTTCTCTTCAGCAACAGAAAAAAAGTGTTCCTCTTATGCATTTACATCTCATTCTGATGAATGCTCACGGCCTGACAGGGAACAAGCTGGATAACAGCCCCGCTGTCCACTGTTCCATTTCAATTCTGTCTCGTCTAATCCAGAGTATTTGAATTCAGAAACACTTCCCTCCTGCTTTTCCGACATCACTGTAGACATATTGAGCTGTCAAATTAGTTGCTATTTTCTCTCTCATCCAGCATTCCTGACTATTAAATTACACGGCATAAAAAGACTCGCTGAATGCCTTCAGAATCACAACATGGGCTACTGAAAGCCAGACGCTTTCAATCACCGCTGATGTTACCTGCACTTTACCTCTCCTTCTAAGTGGATAACACAACCAGTGGTATTAATCATCTGTCGCTTTCGCACTAACATATAGAACATTTATCAGGGAGATTTCTCCCTCAATTTCATACAAAAAGCACACTCACACATTCACAGACTTTGAGGTGACATTCACGCCGGATAGGGAAAATAAAAACAACCTCAGAGACAACAGTATATCTTGTCTCGGGGAGATGGCAAAGCTGGACCACAATTTGTTTTCCTATTTGCTCTAGATTGCAATGTCGCCTTCCCCGCCAACAGCAGGCGGCCTCGTCTATCTCTTTGCCGTGTGTTTGTCTTTCTCTTTGTTTTGACAGACGAGACGTAGTATTATGCTTTCTCAACTGAGAATCCTCAGGTTATGTGAAGCATTTGATTCTAAAATATTCATACTCAGTGCAATGCAAATACAGCTCCAGTGTGGGATCCTGGATTTATATAAGAGTCTAACACAATGTGCAAGAGTTTTGATTCTAAGTGACCATACACATTTTCAGCATCACACAAACAGGTGCAGTATTATGGGCAGGGATAGTTAGAAAATACCCCTTTACACTTGTTTAAATTCCCTTGATCCTCAGGGCAGAGCTCCATTATGTCTACAGCTTTATCTAGCTCCCTGTGTACATAACTGCCTCATCTGACGCAGCGTAGATCCTTGACTGCGACTTGCTCTACAGGTTGAGCTAGTTGCAAATACTTTTCTATCCACCAAGTCTACATTGTCTGTATGAGTCAGCGCTCCTGGCTAATAAGGTGGGGTTCAAGTTCTCCTGTGAGCCCCCCCCCCCCCCTTCCTTTTCTTCTCCCCAGCTCTGCTTTTCTGTCTTTCCCTGTCATTCGCACATCTCGCCTTTCTCACCCTCAACCTGACTTTATTCCATTTTTTTCAAGGTAACACATACCAACCGCAGGAGTAAAGCACAAGCAATCCATGTATAGTTTTATTCGCACTGCTTCCAGTTATCTGTCTTTACAAATCTCACTCTTTTGTATGCACCGGGGCTGAACTCTTTCCTTGACATACAAGATCTTCCCTCGCTGCGTGATGGAAAAGAAACAGAATGAACAATGTTCTTGCCCTTTTAGTGTCCCTTTTTCTTACACTATCTTTTGACCTCTTGAATCCTTTCTAGTATTCATCTGTTATGAAACTGAAATGTATCTACATTACATGTATTTTCTTGATTTAACACTCCCTACACATATAGATAAAGTCTCTTACCTTAGACACAGAGAAGCAGTGTAATAGACAAGTTTTCCTGTCCCCAGCTGGCCTCGTGTGGATGCTAACTGACAGTCTCACCTGGATATTTTTGAGGGGGTTGGCTTTGAGGTGTGGACCAGCTGGAAGAGTCGGGAATGGGAGGGACGGGTGGAGCATCGCATACTGACACATACTCTCACACACTGGCAGTTTCAATCTTGGCTTGTTTTGCATGAGCAGACCTGCCTCGGGATGTTTTTGAAGGAAGACAGAGAAGTGACAGAGGTAACGTCAGAGAAAGGAAACTGTACTAGTCAGTTGGACAAAGGAATGGAAAATGATGATAATGAGTTAGACCAAAAGGAAAGGTAAGCAACAGGCAGGTGGTAACCAGACAGATGGAAGACTTGTATAGTGTTGTATATGATATGAAACTGATGCACATCAGTTTGTGAGAATGCTTAGGTTTAAGGTATTTAAAGGAACAGTTCACCCCAAAATTAAAAGTGCATAATTTTTCCTATTACCCGTAGTACTGTTTTTGTTTGAGTTGCTAAGTGGTGGCGATACTGGCCATACAGAAAAATAAAAACATTAAAAAAATATATATTAAAA